GAAGATGGAGATTAACCAAAATCCTCTTCTCGTGCAGTTTTGCCTTTCAACTTTTTCTCCTTTGAATTTTGTATTTCCTTTTATAATGACTTTGTTTGAAAGTATGAATATCGACGAATATCGCCAATTCTCGCTGAAGAAACGATTGTTATTTCGGCAAGCATTTAAAATATAATGTTTTAGTGGTTATGCAATACAATGGTATTATTTTTAATGTTATTCCATTAAGTATTCATCAAATGAGACTTAATTTCAAATATTTTGTGTTTATGATACCACGAAATTTAAATAAAATTTAATAAGTTAGCGGTTTTCATGCTGCAGTAGAAATTCTCTCTTAAGGCAAGAGATCGCATGTGGGATTTTTTTAAATAAAATTATTATAAAGTTACATATAAAGATTTTGCAAATCTGTGTTACTTAAAAGAAAATATATCTTTAAAATTTTCAACCTTAAAAAACTTGTCAGTTTGAATAATAAAGCGTTATTAATGACTGACTGCTGAATTAGTAGCATAGAATGCTATGAATAAGCTTAGATCATAAAATGCTGAGTATAAGTAATAGAGTATTGAGCATACCACAGTGCTTTCGATGGCGGAATGGAAACGAATGAACAATGATATGATTGTTATTAGACTCTTATGCACATTGTTTCTAGCAATCTAACAATAAGCGTAATTGTCATAATTTTTTTTAAAGTCTAATCATAATTTTCCACTTTCATCACTATTTTTCAAAGATGAAAATTCTGTTATCGAAGCAGAAAACGTGAAAAATGTGCAGTGTTTTCACCGGGATTTGAACCTTGGACTTTCCAACTGCTAGCCGGTCAATCTTTCTAATTACACTACGAACCCGTGTGGTAAGGAAGGAAAACATATCTCAAAAATCTTCACAATAATTATTCTTTGTATTAATGTTTATACTCCTTAAAAAGAAAGGAATTTACTGCCTTACATCGACTTCAGTCACATGAATTCAGATTCATTCAGAAACAAATATACAAGTCGTTGTTCGATGCCACCATTATATTAGAAAAATGAGTCAATAAGCAGTTCAGTTTCGAATATCAAATAAATTCCCTCATCATCAGTTATATAGATCCAGGGCCTGCACTAGTGCACTAGTTGTTTTGTCACCCGGTGCAATCTTCTGCAAGTCCTAATTTCTGCTCCCTAAATTTTGCTGTTCGATGCTTCACTGAATTCTAAAGCTTTCAGTACTTGCAACTTTTTCCTTTCGGTGCCGCCGCACCGGTTGCGCCAGGTCTGTATCTAATCTATCGGCTCTATCTCTACAGCGGATCTTATTTGAAAGATATTAAATACATTTTTTCATCTTTAAAAGGAATGCCATTATTATTTAACTAAACGATTAAAAATTCCTAAAAAAAATGTTGATCAAAATATTGAATTATATGGACTCAAAAGGGGAACAAAGCTGCTTGGAACAATGAGCAGTCTTTGTATCCATGTCCTTTAAACTATCTCTGGAGAGTATTTCTAACCAACTTTTTCATTTATTTCTTTTTGTATGCATATATTAGGAGAAGGAGATGAATCACAGATTTCATTTGGTATGCATCTACTAGGGAGATTAGCTTAACCAAAATCCTATTCTTGTGCAGTTTGCTTTTCAACTTTTGCACCTTAGAATTTTACATTTACTTTTCAGAAAACATAATTCTATTTTGTGCATCATTATGTTATATATATGTGTGTGTTAGATATATATATATATATAACATAATGATGCACAAACGTGTATATATATACAGGGGTTGGACAAAAATATGGAAACACCTTTAAAAAAACATGATTCTGCTTAATATGGTGTAGGAAACCCGTTGGCATCCAAAACAGCTTGCAGTCTTCTCGGAATGGATAAATACAGTTCCTGTATGTTTGCCAACGGAATATTATACCATTCTTCCTGCAAAACGGTGGCAAGTTCAGATAACGATGTTGGCGGTGGATAACGAGAACGCACTTTCCGTTCCAATGTAGACCACAAAGGTTCGATAATATTCAGGTCTGGTGACTGTGGTGGCCATGGGAGATGGGACAACTCATCTTCGTGCTCAGAAAACCAGTCCTGGACAATGTGAGCTGTGTGAACAGGGGCTTTGTCGTCTTGGAAGACACCATCACCATCGGGGAACAAAGTTTGTACCATGGAATGAACTTGATCGGCCAAAATGTTCACATAAGTCTTGGCAGTCATGTGCCCTGACACAGTTATCATGGGGCTTGGCAGAGAACCACGATATGGCTGCCCAAGCCATAACAGAAACCCCGCCATGTTTCACTCTTGGCAACAAGCAGTCTGTATTATAGGCTTGAGATGGCGTTCTCCAGGCCAGAAGTGGGAAACAATGTGAAAGAAGACTCGTCAGACCTCGTCAGACTCGTGTTTCCATATTTTTGTCCATCCACTGTATATATATATAGGTAAAGGTAAAGGTAAAAGTATGGGGGACACCAGCGATGTACCATAGGTCAACTGGTAATGCCTTCCCATACTAACTCTTTGAGAAAAAAAGAAAAAAAAAAAAGAAAAGAAAAAAAAAAAAAGGGAGGGGGTTAATGGCAAGTTTTATAAGAATTTGCATAAACTGAAGCTTTTCAAAAGGTCAAAAGTTTGCCTATTATGGTACATCGTGCAATTCCACAGTACGCCCCGCATCCAGTATTTATTAAAAATAATGGTGTAGGGCATAAGTAGATTACAAAATAGTAGGAATACAATTTGAGATTCACAAGATAAATTGAACATCTGATTTGGTGCAACAAAAATAGGAGATAAACATAATTAATAAACAAATAAACATAATGAGATAATTATAATTAGTACTGGCAACACAATGTTAAATGAATTGTTATAATAATGCTAAGAGGTAGGTGTCCATGGGTTATTTCTGATATATTGGTTTATTGCAGTTTATAAAGTTCAGTTCACGAGCGGATCCATTTTGTCCATAATTACAGCATGTAAAAGTTCACTAAGTTTAAACTGTATGTGGATTTACACTTGACAGAGATCTACGCCGTAGGAAAGAGTCGTTGCATAATTTTCTGAAACTTTGGATATTGATGTTTATCTTTAATTAAAAATCTTTGGAATGCCAGGAGGTCAGTTCTTGGGAATTTTATGTGAATATCCTCAGTTAAGGGGCATGAGAAAACGTAGTGATCAGGAGTTCCCTGTTCCCCACATATGCAGATGTCAGAGTTTGCCAAATTTCTTGCGTAGAAATATGTGGGGAAGGGTCCATGTCCCGTTATAAAGTAATTTAGGGAAGGATTCGAGTTCAGAGATGCAAAGCTTACATTGGGCATCAAGTTATATGTGCGTCTTCCCTGTGGAGCATTGTTCCACAAATCTTGCCAAGATTTTGAAGCAAGTTGTTTTAGTTGGTACTTGAAATTCGAGCGAGGCCACGGAATGATGATTTCAGTACCATCTTGATTAATAGCTGCTTCTTTGGCTAATTCATCTGCCTGATCATTACCAAAATGGCCACTATGTCCTTTGATCCATGAGATTTGAATTTTGTAGTTTGGGATTTTTCCAAGAAGAGAATTTATGTCGGATATCAATGGAGAGGAAGGTAAGGGATTTTTAATAGCTAGAATAGCTGCTTGGGAGTCAGATTTTATGCTAAATTCGTTGAGATTTTTGAGAATGGCCTTTCCATTTGATGATATTTGAGGGGGTAATTTGAAAAAAGACTGCGGAACCAACTTTTCCTTCAATTTATATATATATATATATATATATAATATATATGATACATATATATATATGATACATATATATATATGATACATATATATATATATATGATATATATGCGTGTGATATGTTATACGTGTATATATATATATATACTCGCTTCCACTGCTCTATAGTCCAGGCTTTATGACTTAAACACCCCCTTTTCCTGTTACGGGCATTAGCATCACTGATGAGTGCCTTCTCAAATGCAGCACGGCCAGCAATTCCCTGTTTATGAAGCTCCCTTCTAATTGTTTTGGTACTCACAGGGTTCGGTAACACAACATTTATTTCAGCAGTAACTTTTGCAGCTGTGGTCTTCTTATTTTTCGTCACAATTGCCCTTAATGATCGTCTGTCACGATCACTCAGGACACACTTTCGTCCACGCTGTGATTTAGCAGATGATGTTTTTCAGCTTATCAAATATGCAGAATAAATCTTCGATACAGTACCTCTTGAAACACTAAACACCTCGGCTACCTTGCTTACGGAAGCACCTACCATACGTGCTCCAACAATTTGCCCACGTTCGAAGTCTGTTAACTCTGACATAATGCAATGACAACCTCACATAACAGTACTCCGACAACAACTGAACTGTTTAGCACATTTACGAAGTTGTATAGGTGGCGTCAGTAGTCAAAAATGCCAGCGCCACCTACATATTTCATTAAAATCAATCTTTTTTTCAAACATGCATTTCACAAGGTGTTTCCATATTTTTGTCCATCCACTGTATATATATATATATATATATATGATATATATGTGTGTGATATGTTATACGTGTATATATAAATATATATGCACATGATTAAATTCACTTTACAATATGCCCATTCAAATACTCTTGTAGTATGATACAGTCCATTGCCGGAAAAAACACAAGTTTCAGATCTTTGACGCTTGCCTTGCTACATCTGCAAAAATAACTTACATGTGAGAATACGAAGAGGTTTCGAGAATATGTAAAGAATTTCAAGAAGACTCAGAAGGACGCCAAGAAAGATTTCACGCATTTATTTTACTGCGGTTTTCAGTTTCGTTTCTTGGCTTGATTTGCCTTTTTATTCTTTATCAAATATATCTTTAAATTTATTTTACTATTCTTATTTTATCAAACTCTTTTTGTTTTTCTTTAGTTTTAGTTTTTCTACCTAAATTTGTTTATAACATATGCTTTCGAGAAAGTATCATTTTTAAACTGCCTTTTTCAGCTGAAAGCTACTCACAGAGAATTAATAAGTCAACTCAAGATGCTGGCAAGAGAAAAATTATTGCTCAGTGGGCGTCTAAAATCCACAGAAAAAAGCATTGAAGAAAACACGCAAAAGGTTTCGATTAATTTTTTTTTTTTTTTTTTTTTTTTTTACACTCAATTTAAATACCATTTATGCTACGTTCAATATACCATTTTAATTACTATTATAAAAATATTGCTTTCACAACCGCATATTTTAATTTTTCTTATAAATAAAAATAGTGCATTTCATCAGTCTTTATTAAGGTGAAAGGACCTGTATTTTGTACGGTGCCATTTCCTTTTATTTATTTGTTCTTCTAGAAATTACACAATATATTATTAGAGTTTTACAGACAAAACACAACATATTATTAGATATTTATACACAATATACTATTAGATGTTAAAAGTGTTGTGATTGTTATATTCATTTCTGCTCAGACTTCAAAGACAGCAACTTTAAATTCAGTTACCTTATGGCAGGGTTTCTTAAACTGTGGTTCGCGATCCCCAAAGGAGTGGCGAGACCTGCAGCAGGGGGTCGCCAAAAGTTTTAGCAGTTTTGATATTTCTTATTATAATAATTTTACAATTCTTTACTTATTATAATAATTACCAAATATTTTTACACAATGTATTGGAAAATAGATAAAGATAAGACAATACAGCCAAAGAAAAAGCCGAAAACGTTTCGACGCATTCTTTTTATAATATAAAAGTTAATTTTCCTTGCTTTGCACGTGACGCTGTCATTTCGTCTGTTACTTAGAATTTTCACACTGTTCCGTGTCTTAAAATTAGAAATTAAAATTATTACTGCAGTAGTATATTACAGTGCAAGTGAAAAAAAATTGACAGTTTCACTCACGCGTGTGTCGGATTTGCGCAATTACTTATGAAGTCCCACAAAATTTTCGTAAATGTTATGGGGTCCTTGTTGTCGTGAAAAAATCTCAGTGATGAAAAGGGGTCGTGAATGAAAAAAGTTTAAGAAACCCTGCCTTACGGCATAGTGTTCATTCACAGAAGATATTAACTCATAACAATTATTAATGCGTGCTTGTAAATCATGGAGCAATAGCTTATTGGAGTTTAAGTTCAGATATATAGCAACACCTGAAGGCATTAAAAATAATACCACCTCCGCTTTACAATGTGCATTTTATAATTCTTTTCAACGAAACATCTACAAATATACCTCTTTTCACTCGCCGAAAAAAAATCAGATCATCTTCCGAGTTATTTTTAAAAAAAAGATTTTTCAGGATATTTTGAGTGCTTAAAATGATGATAAAATACCTAAGAATAAGCAGTCAAGCAGACTTTCCTATTTCAAGCCTTCCTCAGCTAGAACAGACAATGAATTGTCATTGCCTGTTCTTATTCTGTTCTATCTGATACTCGACATCGAAGCAGACTTGATTATTTTAAATTATTTGACTATGGCAAAGGCGATAAAAGCAAGAGATGGCTGCGTAGGGACTTTCTAAGTGAAAACTGGCCTTGTATTCACTCTACACAAGTTAGAAAAACACGAAAACTAACCTTTCAGTTAGCCCGTTTGCTTGGGATCAAACCCGGGTTCAGCGGTCTTAACCACTAGGCCACTGATATAGGCCATCGAAGGAGACAGACATATAAAAAAGTAGACAAATGACCAAATAAAATCCGAAAAATACGAGATGTTAGAAGATGACCTTCTTTTGGATATCCAAATTACGTTCAGCTTCCACTAACACGCTCCGATGACTCACCAACTCAGGCCTAACAACAGCATTGTCACCATCACCATCGCTATCTGTCCAACTTTACTTGCGCTTGTTGATTTTAGTTCGGAAACGCTATTTTGTGCATCATTATTTATATTAGGTAAATCTAGAATTATTAAGAGGATGGAAACATGGAAAAAGAAAATATTACTGTATAAATTTAACTATAAATATAGTAACCATCCTTTTCAGTGTCAGCCCATTTTTCAGGCAACTTTCCAATCCTTTTTTTCAAGAATCATTTTGGTTTGCAGGAAAATATTCATTTGTTGTATTTTATATTTGTTTACTATGGAAGATTTCACTGACCAATTCCTACTCAGATATTTATCTGAGTTGGCAATATCTGGACTCTTAGGCGAATAAGTACACTTAGGTTCTATATCCTTGTCGATTCACTCTCGCGATCGTATCACGTCTGTTGATCAATGCAGGGAGTTGGTTTTTAAAGTTTGTTTCAAATTACCTGATTGATTACAAGAATGTTTGCATATGTCTTTTAACATTTTGATTATTGTCCAACTCTTCAAAGTGAATCATACCTTACTTATCTCAGCAAATTCAGAAGGAAATCTTTAGATACAATTCTGCCTTTCCTGGCATTTATTTTTTCTTTTAGGCTTAACCACTATCTTTTCGAGAGAAAAAAAGAACTCTTCTCTCATCTCCTTCCGCAATACATCTAAAAAAGAAGTAACACCAAAACAATAATCAAATCAAAGTCTAACTTTAAGAATCAGAGTAAATTTTTAAAAAGTTTTTTCAGTACTAGTTTCGATAGTTTTTTTAACTATCTTCTTCAGCTGCTTAAGTGCAAATGAACCAAAATATTCTTTATTTCGTTCATTTTCACTTAAGCAGCTGAAGAAGGTAGTTCAAAAAACTATCGAAACAAGTACTGCAATTTTTTTTTTAAAAAAAATTACGCTGATTCTCAATGTTGAACTTTGTTTTTGATTGTTATTAAGCGTGATATTTAAACTAAACCAAAACAATAATCAAAGTATCTGTATTTTATTTGCTTAAACACCTTTAAATATATAGGGAAAATAACAGAGCTGTGACTTCTTTAATACTTAAAAGTAATTAAGGTTTTTCTCATGTTCCATGGCAATAATTTAAAGAGACAGTATTTTTAAATAGTTCCCATTTTTTAATGTCACAGCCTAATGAAATACGAAATTAATTTATTTTCTGCAAAAATGCGCGAATGAAATGAAGGGATGACTGAAATGAAATTTAGGCAGATTAACTGCGTTATACGTTAATATTATTTTATTAAATGCTATTTTGTTAAAATGAATTGAGAATTTTTACTTTTACAGGTTCATAGTTGATATGTTCGGAAATCCTCAAAACAGGGTTCATCCACATTTCTGCACACAGAAATTAAGTACTTTTAAGGACCATTAATGAAGAAAATTAAGGACCTATGAGCAAATGGAAACTCAATAAATTCAATTAAAAATATTATCTATGAAATTTAACATTTGTCATACCATTCTAAAAATTAAATAGATCCCTAAGTAATATGCATTATTACTAAACATGAATTAAAATAATTATTAATAAGTTTGAAAATAAAATAAACTTTATGCAATTTATCACGTAGCATTAAATATTTTACACTTATAATAGTTGGACATATGTGTAAGAAGATAAGTGACATTTACGTTTTACTAACAGTCAACGTAAATTAACTTAACAGTTAGCTTTATGTTAACTTTTTTTATGTCTCATTTTTTCACATACTTGGTCAGTCTAGAGATTTAGTAAATAGAAGGTAGATTTTATGTCAAACGGCATAGATCAAAATGAGAAGTAAGATCATAATCAGCATGATTCATAACAAAAGACTGAATGTTCTCACCGCTGCTGCTTGTCTAGAAAGACCTGCTGATTAGAGCAAGTCTGAAAGGCTTGATGTAGGCACGGTTGGCAAGTGTTGAAAGTTAGCCAGGCTCTGTTTGATGCAGTTAGTGTTGTAGCTTCGTATCCTGAATTAATGGTGAATTTTTTGATGGTGGGAGGATATGTGGGGAAATCGGTAATACAAACGCAGAAAGTAAACACTGCAGAGGGAGTGCAGCCTATAACCGGCAGAGGATCGACACTAGCGTAAGACCGACAGAATGATTATCAACATAAGATCTACTTTTAATTAGTAGCAGAAATTTTGACAATGGTACAACAATGAATCCACGCCTTCTTATTAAATTAATCCTTCTTAATGACTCTAAAAAATGTGCATTAATCCGATTAATCCCCATTTTTCACCGTGACTGAGTTATCATAGGTCTACGATCGACAATGCTCGTGTGATGCATCGAAATAGCATCGACACGGCACAGAAACGTCACTGCCTTGCAATACACATTGCATAATGTAATCAAAGACCATAATCAACAACAGCACATAATTAAAAAGGAAATAATTTGATTAAATTACTATCTGCGTAGTCCCAAACCGGCATAGAACCAGCACTGGCATAGATATGTAATATGTTTTTGATCTATCTTGTCGATCCTGTTTCTTCGAAAGATGAAACACTGTTTCACATGTAATATTATTACTATAAATTTTCTTACATGCATGCGAATTTTTAAATGTAATTAGAAATGTTGCTTTTCAATTTATGAGAAATTTAAAAATACTTCAGAATCTGGCTTTTCTACACTATTTGATTAGAAACGTTATGTACCTTCCAAAGAAAAATGCAATAGACAAAAACTTAATAGGGGCGGAAAATCACAGGAATTTTCTTTAAAAATGCACATTAGTTGTTATCAGTGTGCAGTTTTCAATAAGAAGAGTAGGCGAGAAGAAAAGGAATGTGCCTATCCTTCGCCATTATCTAAGCATGAAAGCTCGTTTTGACAAACGCCATGTTACACCTATCAAAAAGTGCCTAGAAGCGGATGAAACGTTTCTGCATCACGGAAATTGTGTAAACATTTTTTTTAATAATGAATCAATAAATTTATAATGAAAAAAAACAGAAATTATTAAATATGTGTTCTAATGTAATAAACAGCGATTATTAAATATGTGTTCTAAGGCAATGTCTGTAAAACTTACCATGGACAAGATATTACTATGAAACAATTTGAAATTTTAACACAATATATGCAACAAAAAGTTTCCGTAACGAGGTTTATGAATATTTTAAGAATTTATTTCAGATGTATTATCATTTATTTTATTTAAACATTTCACATTTTTTCTAAATTATAAACAGTTCATGTAAGAAGAGTCGGATGATCTAAGACAGTTATTACCTAGAAAGGTGGTAATAGCAATATAACCACGAGCTCAGTTTATGGGCCCTACACTCCTTTTCTCTATTATAAAATTCTTGATATGAAATGTGCTCACAAAGCCTAACTACGCCATTTTTACAAATCAAATGTAAAAATTAATAATTGACTATGTTACCAAAGCAAGGTTTTCTCTCATAGGGTTAGAGAAGTTCAGAGACTTTACCCATGCAGGAATTGCGCTTTCGTCATAAGATTCAATATTTCTAAGTATATTAAAAACTGACTTGATGGTAAAAAAGCCGGTTATATTTCGTCCCCAAAATACCTACCATCTAATGCTGCTTGTTCTTTGCAGTTATTCTTGTGTGGGTGCCGTAAAATAACTGGATAAGCACAAAACTCTAAAACTTTAAACATTCAGTAAATACAGAATTAAAGATAGTGAATAGAAAGGAGGCTTTGATGCTTAGCAGAATCGCTTATGTAAAATTTATGTTGCCAAAGAAAGTTATATTTAAAAATATTATTTAATGTAATACTTTAAATATAGCCTCTTGTATAATGAATAAGCTTATAAACAGCGATTAAAAGACGTTTTAGCCAAGGAAATTTATGATAATTTGATTACTTTTTTCAGCTGATGAAAACACAGCTCGTGATGGAACGATACAAAGCAGAATTTGTTTCTTGTACGGAAAACATTCAAGATTCGAAAGCTCTGAGGTGGGCTATGCTCCGACTTTTGCAGATGCGAATTCTGAAAGGCCCAATCAAGGTAAACATTCTTTCAATATAAGTTAAGTGAAAACGGTTTTCAGATCTCAAAGATTTAAACTGACCATTCCTTCAATACAAAGTTCTTTAAAGTTAATCATTAAAAAAAGGACAAACATTAAACCATACAAATTAATATAAATTCTTATCTGTCACAAATATCCTAAAAATATTCTGGTCCGTATTTAGAGATTACTTTGTAAGATTCTCACTAGTGTATTTCTCAGTTACTGTAGAAAGTGAGTAACCTTAAGAAATAGTTAGCGAATAATCCCTTAAGTTCATGTGGCAAGAAACAACAAGATGGAAGGGTAATTAACCCTTTTATTCCAATAAGATTTAACAAAACTTCGTCTTGGAGTGTACAATAAAAGCCGACACTTGGGCTTGAACTTAAAAGACTAAGAAATAAACTAAAACTAAGATTAACTAAAGAGATATAACCGAAGCTATCAAGATTCTAATCGAGTTAGGCCCTTAACTCTATTTGACTACGAAGCTTATCAAGGGCCTGAGTACGGCCGAGCGTAATAACAGCTTTGAGAGTGAGTGGCCAAAAGGCAGACGCGCGCAAATCAGAAACTCTGATTCTCTCCAACTCAGCAAGTAGAACTTCGCGATTTAAATACCGCTCTTCCTCATTAAGTATTCAGAGTGATTCCAAAACTACGTTCTTGCCGGAAGTAGTAAGTTGAAGTTAAGAATTTGACAGGAAAGGAACTTAAAATTTAACTGTTAATGAAATTAACGTAATCCTTACAAATTGGCTAAAAAGAATTCTGTAATCATTCAGAGATGTTAATCATGTTCTCCGTTCTATTTTCAAGGCAAGTTATTATTCAGAGCTCGTGAACAAGGTAGAAATAATGGCTACACATTTTCTGTTTTGCAGTAAAACTAATAAAGACTCATAAAAAATTCCTGTAATTCCAAACAGTGGTAAAAAAAATTCAGTTTGGAGGCATTTAGAATTTTCGACTTTAATATCAGACAAAGCAAGTATACAGAACGCTTTTAAATACTCAACAAGAGAGAATTATAATGCTGCTAGTAAGAAATATATTTTAGAACAATAAAGACAGTTAACAGTACTTACCTATGAAATTCACTTCCTAAGTCATTATTAATGTTATTCAGGTGATGTCTAACTCATTATAATGTTATGCATGTGTACTGTGTGCAGCCTTTTAATGTTTAATTTGTTTTTGATATTTTTCATAATTTTCTTATTAATTTTTAGGGATTTTCGTAAACTATTAGTAAATAATGTTAGAATTCAATGTTGTTTATGAGCTAGAACTCTCAATCCAAGCAACACGCAAATAAAGCATCAGCAGCCTCATCAACCATCATCAGCCATGTCAACTGAATCACTCCAGTAGCATCCGATATTTAAATTTGCAATAAAGAGTGAGGAAGGGATTATCATGAGATACAAAGCAAGATACTATTCAGAATGCTTAATTGCAGTTAGATGCTAGACCGAAATAGAAGTATGAGTTTCTGCCATCATTCGTCATTCTTTAAAATTCATTCATATTTATTATTAAAAAAAGGTTAGATATTTTTGCCTCTTAAGCAGTAATTAATATTTGAAGGAAGCAAAATAAGAATTAAGAAGCAAGAGAAGAATAAGCAAAGAAGCAAAAGAAGCAAAGAATAAGCAAACAAGCAAAATAAGCAAGAGAAGAATAAGCAAAGAAGCAAAATAAGCAAAGAATAAGCAAGAGAAGGAAGCAAATAAGAATTGTTAAATAAAAATCCTGTTATGCATGCGGAGCATATGGTACATTTAAATGATGCTGTATGGTGAAGTCAAATGCATGATTTTCCAGGCTAGAGGCTGGCAAAGCGATGACCGAGGGCAACAAGTTGACTCGTGCATTTAATAACAAGTTGACCTCGAATCAATTTTAAAGTCCTACCATTCAAATATTTAAATTCTAAATTTTAGATATTGCAACATGCACTCATAATAATAAAGAATAATTTTAATTAAACCTCTTATTTTTAACTCAGCCGTTATTAATAAATATATGAATTGTACAATTAGTACCCGCAACGCCATTCAAACTCCTGTATATCTCAAATGTGCCCTTTTAGTGAAAAAAGTTGCCCACTCCTGCTCCAAACCATCTGACATTCTCATGGTTCATTGTGGTGCAGAAAAGCAGAAGTTTACTAACTGGGTCCCTTGGTTAACATTTTCGATATTGAATGATTCCTGCAAGCTGTTGACACAACTTGCTTTTCTGTAATACCGTGCTGGAATACATTGTTGTGTTAAATTGACCATCTGAGAAACCATATTCGCCTTACATGAGCAACTGAACATATTTTTAAAAAGTTAAGGTATATTATCTCTTTTTTCCTACTTTTTAATTAAAAGAAAATTCATTTATTTAGTTTTATCTTAAGTTGTAGCATTTAGACCATCTAATTATCTTCTTGTAAAATACCTTCAACACGACACGATACGCAGTCTTGTATGCAATCTTGTGTAAAGAAAAGGAAAATTTCCTTTAAATTAAACTCGTGCATTTAATAACATTTAATATATTTTTGTATTAATGCATTGAATTGAATTAATTTACGATAACAATTTTTGCACGTAGGAAGAAGAAGTATTTGTGGGAGATACAGATCCTTACAGCAAATTCTGTCGCCTAAGGGATCACTATGAATCCTTGATCAGTACTATTTTAAATCGGACGAAGGAAGTTCAAACCACATTTCGTAAGAATTACGTCAAATTAGCTAAGGTAAGAACAGTTTAAAAATCAAAATAACTCTTTGTTTGAATCTTTGAATAAAGATAATTATATTTAAGAAAATCTTGTTACGCTCACATATACTCACTACATAAAAATATTGCATTACAGAGTGATTTGCTGCCGTGGTGTTCAAAGATGTATCGGCATCGTGTAGTAATGCAGGGTTGCAAACGTGATAAAGAGGACTGTTAGGAAGCCTGCAAAACGTCCGCACAGGGAAACTGTCGTTCGATAATCTAGTATTAAGTAGTAGAATGGAAGATTACAGAAATGTGGAGTTAGAAGATATGCATCTAGGATTTGAAGTTGCTAATTGTAACGGGAGAGCAGCTGTGCACCTATGTGAGAAGAGCTATCCAATGACACGTATTCCGAACTAAATTCCCAAGGCTTTATGAAAGGTTATGGAAAAAGAGTGTTCGAGAGACTTGTCACGAATCCGGAAAGAACGGCAAGGACCCGTGAAATCGAATAGATTGTTCTTCGTAATGAAAGCGTTACTTCAGGTGCCAGTACACTAGCAATCGCAACTTTCTTCCGTCTTGCCCAAATCCCTGTCTGCAGTATTCTGAATTCATATCATATGCACCCATTCCATGAGCAGCACATGCATCTATTGTAATCTGATGATAAGCCACAGAGGGATGCTTTTGCTCAAAGGTATCTGCAAAAGAGTGTAGCGGACCCCTTTTTCCGGCTACCGTCTTATTCTCAAAAGAGGTATACTTCACCAGGGAAGGTTGCAAGCACATAACCCGCATTATAGGCCATGGAGAACGCCCATGCCACACTAACATATGCTGCAGCAAATCACTTTACTATCAGTGTTTGGTCCGGCATTGGGGGGGTCCACTTAATAGACCCATATCTCTTGCCTATCGGTTTATACGGACGGTGTTATAAGAATTTTCCCTTGAAGGCAACCTTGCCCAAAATATTGAATGATCAACAAGCAGATCCAGCAGTAGCTGTACCATGGTATGTGATTCGAGCATGATGAGTTCTTCGTCGATTTTATCCGTGATATGCGGGAGCACTTAAATGCAACATTTGCACAACACTAGATGAGGCATGGTAATCTCATTCATTGGCATACACGTTCCTGGGCTTTTATGGATCACATGAAAATCTACCCTACTATCTACCAGAGGATATCGAGGAGGATATTGTGGTACGAATCAGCGTAGTTGCAGCGACTGTCCGAAGGAGACTTCAAATATCTCAAAAGTCCATGATGCCCTAGGCGCCGATGTCAGCTATATGTTGTAGCTAGAGGCCGAAACCTCGAGCACCTTCTTTGATATTCCTAAATATCTCAATTTTTACATTTTGAACAATAAAATAAAATAACATTTTCACTAATATGTTGCTATTTCTTTTCTCGTGTTCTCTGACCACTTGCACATGACAGCCCCGCATTGCTATCCGAGCGCTCTTCGTCTTTGAGTAACCTATGCCGCTAAGAAGTTTGTACACTTGGTAGCGAATCACTCTGTAAATACCCCGGAAATCTGCCATTTTAAAAAGTATTCTTTTGTTTCTTCTATAGGAAAACTCGGATTGGACAGCCTTTGGTGAAGCCCTTCGAACGGACTTCCAACAGAAGGAAGAACGCATCAGTTGTTTAGAGGAAGCCCTTCAAATGCCTTGGAATCAGTTTGCTACTGATCCGTCTGAAACCCAGCGACGTCTCCAAAATGCGTATGAAAATCTAGAATGCTTGGAAAAGACAGAAAACGAAGAGATTCAGAAAAGACTATCTCTCATTGAAGAGCAAGACAAGGAATTGCAGCGGCTACATGGTCTCCTTGTTGTTGATCAACGAGGCATCGTTGCCCGGAAAATGGCACTCTGAATATTCATTTAAGATTTGTATTTATTGTTCTTCTTCCTTAAATATTTTTAATTTTTTAATTTTATGGCAGTCTTTTGCATAACTTAACCCAAATTTGCTTTCAGAATCAGCTTTTAATATATCACAGTATGGAGAAAATAAATTCTTAAAGTAGCATAATTGTGAATTTTTTTAATTCTGTTGGATGTACATAAAGAATGAAAAATGTTATGTGATTTAACCGCACTCTTGTGATGCACTGGTTAGCACCGCACTCTTGTGATGCACTGGTTAGCACATCAAGCCGTTAATTAGAGACCCTGTGTTCTGCTTGGAACATGGATAGAGGGAATTTTTCAAAATTTTCCGTTCCTCATTTCTTCCTGTCTCTGCAGAAATAAGTCAGAAATATGGCTGCTTATCCAAAAAAATGTGATATAATGTACTGTAGAATAGAAGTTAATAGTGAATGGCATATTAAAGCTGAAACATCATTTCATTTCAAATAACATGACTTATGTCATTTGCCAAGATATCACTGAGCATGCAGCAGTTAACTGTAGTTGAAAGCTGGGCGACTGCATGCCAGAATGATTATGAAGCCATGAAACCGGCGGGTTGTGATTTTAGCATCGTTGCCGTCGCCAGTGGAGAAACGGAAAAAATGATTGCTTGCACGACGGGAAACATCCAGAAAACAAACGTTCATGGGAAAATTCGTACTAGCACTGGTGCAACAGCATCGATGATGATTTTGGAAACTTCCCGTTAAGAATATGTAATGTAACATCAGGCTTATAATAGAAAACTTTCTGCTTCTCTTGGTAACAAATGACAATGTCCGCTGAAATGGCCGCAAAGGAGAAGGTAAGAAAAGTGTATTTGTCTGAGAAATTCCAGACGGTTTGTAAGGATCTTAAGTTTTACTAACGTTTATTTTATTTTAAATCTTTACTATCACTTCTTATTTTCTACTTCCGGCCAGAATTATAAGCGTGAAGGAGTTTATGCAAAGTTGTCTGGCGAACGCCAAGTATTTAAGTGTGGCCTTTTTGCCAAGCAGAAGAGAGGAAGCCGTGAGTTCGAAGCAGGCCGCTTACCTTAGAAGTTACGCAGTTGCTACTTTGCCTTCCAGGCCAGAGGTTTTAATCCTCTTGATAAAATTAAAACGTATTGTAGTGTTCACAGTCTCTGTGCTACATACGCTTCCTGTTATTATAAGGCCAATCTTATTCTAAAGTTAAATTAGAGTTTAGTTTTATTTTGATATCTTTTAAGTTAGACCCCGAGTGGAGGGTCATTGTATTCCGAAGTACGGAAGTCATTGTATATAAAGAAAAAATAAAGGGTTTTGTATACCCTTCGTCTGTATCCTGTCTACTTACTACAATTAGTGAACACAGCTTTAGTAAGCTCTCTGTTCTAGTCAGGTCATTGTATGTTTCCGAAGAAGGTAAGAAGAAACATTGAACCTGATAGTGGCGCCCGACGAAGAATAACCATGGCCGAGTTTCAAGAAGAACCTGTGCTGCCTGCAGAAACGCTCAGAATCCAGAAATGCCAGCTGCCGCCCTGGAAGGATTGGGTATATTGTCCAGACCATGCGCGCTTCGATGAAACCAGAAGCAACGTTTAATGGAAACTCACAGGTAACCAGTTTTTGGAAAAATTGGATGACCACTTCATGCTCTACCCCGTGCACGAGTTTCAAAAAGTTACCTTAGCTACCAGCGCTTTGAGGGGCCAAGCGCTTAACTGGTTCAAATGTATCGGCAGAAGTCTCTTGGGTCAAGCAGGAAGTCCCACCTATACCTACGAAAATTTCAAGACTGCCCTACTAAAAGCCTTCCCTGTTGTAAGGGATCGTGCGAAATTAGAAACAGAACTTTTCAGTATATATCAACAAAGAATCGAAAACCTCTCGAGCTTATTTTTTAAGAAAAATTCACGTTTTCAAGCTCTTGTATGGAAACCGTCCGGATCCTGAAATAATTCAAGTGATTTTGCCGAGGTTACTACCCCAAGTGCAAGACTTTATTGAATTGAGAAATCCGACTACACTGGAAAAGTTATTTGAGCTAGCAAATCCAGTTTGAAAGTAGAAGAACGGCGGACGTCGAAAGAAGACGCCAATATCAACAGCGAAACCAATTTGGTACGCCAAGACTACAGCAAACTCAAGCACATGGCTACGGAGAGAGAAAAGCGAATCAGTGGGCAAGGAAACCCGAGCATTCAAAAACAGCCGGCGAACGTCGACAGTTCAATAGCAACCCAGGAAAAAAAGTCTCAAGGCCAGTGGAGAAAGAAGGAAGGAAAGCACCGAAAGAAAAAATAATTTAAACTAAAACGGATTTCTGCTGACGAGAGGGTGCGGAAATCCGAAGGCCACGAAAACCCCTCTTCCTACAAGTTAAATACAGTAATGGTGAAAAATTTAACTCTTCCGAAGATTGAAGTCTTGGTAAATAATATCCCGGCCACCGCACTCCTGGATACCGGCGCGCAGTGTTCCTGTGTGGCAGAAGTTTTTTTAGAAAGTATTTTCGCAAATACCGCATATATAATGCGGATAATACAACAGTATTAGCGGCGCAAGGAGAACAATGTAAGTGCGTAGGTAAAGTACCTTTGTACATCCGTATCAAGGACGAACAAGTAAAGGTGATGTTTTTTATAGTAAAGAATTTGCAAGCACACTTTAATCTAGGAATAGACTTTCTTTCAGACGCACAAGCTACACTGGATTTTAATGAAGCGTCCTAAACTGACGATGAATGAAAAACCAGTGCGTGTAGAAAAGGTTTGAACCGCCAAGGGTTAAATCTCGACCACCTGCCTAATGACGAGCAAGATAGAATCCGACAAGTGGTAAGTGAATTGCTTCCTTATTTAGTGATATTCCAGGATTTACCCAGGTTACTAACCATAGTATTGACACCGGAGATTTGCCGGTTCGTCAAAAACCATACCGGTATGATAAGAATAAGGAAAAAAATTATAGAATGGCATATTACCGATATGCTACGTAAAAAGATCGTAACGCCCATCTCAAGTAGTTATGCTAGTCCGGTGGTTTTATGTAAGAAAAATAATGATTATCCTTTGGAGCATCCAAAAAGGTGGAGATTCGCTATTGATTACCGTAAATTAAATTCCATAACGAAATATCCGGTATATCCGTTACCGATTATAGAAGAAATTTTAAGGAACATAAAATCAACCAAATTTATGACAACTTTAGACTTAACGAATGGTTATTTTCAAATAGGGATCAGGCCTGAGGACGTGCCTAAGACTGCTTTTATAACCAAGTCTGGCACTTATGCATTTTTGCGAATGCCGTTTGGCCTTTCAGGCGCCCCAGCAACATTTCAGCGATGCATGGACATTGTGTTAAGACCTGTTCTTGGAAAGTCCACATTTATCTATTTAGACGATATCATTATTACTAGTGATAATCTAGACCAACATGTACAGGATTTAAGACAGGTGTTTTCTTTATTAAATGAGGCCGGTCTAAAAGTTAATGTCGAAAAATGCAAATTTGCAGCCCCTGAATTAAAATATTTAGGTTACAAAATATCGCAAAAAGGGATCGAGACAGATGAATCAAAAATAATCGCTGTACAAAAGTATCCGACTCCAAACACGGCAAAGAAGCTCTCTTCTTTTCTAGGACTTTGTTCATATTATAGGTCCTTTATAAAGATTTTGCGGCTATCGCTGAGCCATTGTTAAAATTAAAAAGGAAAAAGGCAAGATTCTCGTGGACGGCCGAAGCCAATAGTGCTTTCGAAAAATTAAAACAAGCATTAACGCAAGCCCCTGTGTTGAAATTTCCTGAAAAGGATGAAAATTTAGAAATTTCAGCGGATGCTTCGGATTATGCGGTAGGAGCGGTACTTTCGCAAAATCAGCAGCCAGTAGCATTTTTTAGCCGAACTTTAAATCAAACACAAAGAAAAACTATTCCGCGACCGAGAGAGAGGCACTTGCAGTTCTGTTAGCAGTGCAAAAGTTCCGAGTCTATTTTGGAAAGGCGCCGATAACAGTATATTCTGATCATGCGGCGGTAACTAGATTGTACTCTGGAAAAAATTTATCCCCAAGGTTAATAAGATGGGCACTCAAGCTGCAAGAATATAATCTGGTAATCAAGCATACCCCGGAAAGGAAAATATCGTAGCAGATGCCCTGTCACGAATTAAATTAGACGAACAGGGTAATACCGTAAAGTTGCAATGCTGACAGCGTGTACAATAAATTCCCGAGAAACTGTAATAACCCGAACTGGGTAAGGATCCTGAGTTTGGAAGTATTTATGAGTATTTGAAGGATCCTGAAAAATTTTAGCCACCAAGATATTGTGGCGATAAGAAATAGGGCGGCCCATTACGAACTAATAGATGGTCTATTATTTTATACAAAAACTACGAATTCCAACAACGAATTTCGACCTGTTATCCCAGCTAGTCTTAGATTAAATATCCTGCAAGAGCTCCATGACAGCCCTTTAGCTTCTCATGCTGGTATTCGAAAAACTACTCAAACGCGTACGCGAGGCAGTCTACTTTCCTGAACTGCAAAAGTTAACAAGGGCGTATGTCCAGTCCTGCCCAACATGTCAAGCCGTTAATTATATTAATTTCCGCCCGGCCGGGTTTCTAAATAGTATTAAATCCGAATTTCCAAATGAAATAATCGGCATCGATTTATTGGGCCCTTTCCAAAAAGTCAGTTAAACAAAAGTCGCTATCTCCTTGTTATAGTTGATCATTTTAGTAAATGGACCGAAATTGTTCCCTTAAAACGAGCCTCCGCGAAATTAGTTACCGATTCTATTTTAAATAAAAATAAATATATTTTAAAATACGGGGCGCCCCTAAAAGTTATATCGGATAATGGTCCTCAATTTGTAAGTAATATATTTGAAGACATGTGCCAAAAACTGGGCATACGTCATTTAAAAATGGTCCCGTATCGGCCGCAATCAAATATAGCGGAACGGGTCAACAGAAATATAGTGAAAATTATCCGTAGTTATGTTAAAAATTTCATAAAAGCTGGGATAACTATGTCAATGAATTTGCTTTCGCCCTTAGGACCGCAAAAACATGATACAACGGGAAAAACTCCTGCTGAGTTATTTCTAGGCAGAAAGATTATA